CTAGGTGAAAAAATATTGATGCAGTTGAATAGCTTACATCAGTATGTATCAGCATATGAAGTTTGACACTAATTTAAGAAAAGTGAAGTCAAGGTCAAAGGAAAGGTCAAGGTCAAAAAATGTTGATGCAGTTGAAAAGGTTACATCAGTATGTATTAGCATATGAAGTTTGATAAAAATATTGTGAATGGTTTCTTTAAAACTGAGCTAAACACTAATTTAAGAAAAGTGAGGTCAAGGTCAAAAGAAAGGTCAAGGTCAAAAAATATTGATGCAGTTGAATAGTTCTCATCAGTATGTATCAGCATATGAAGTTTGACACTGATTTAAGAAAAGTGAGGTCAAGGTCAAAGGAAAGGTCAAGGTCAAAAAATGTTGATGCAGTTGAATAGCTCTCATCAGTATGTATCAGCATATGAAGTTTGATAACACTATCTTGAATGGTATCTTTAAAACTGAGCTAAAACTTATTTCAGAAAAGTGAGGTCAAGGTCAAAGGAAAGGTCAAGGTAAAAAATATTGATGCAGTTGAATAGCTCTCATCATTATGTATCAGCATATGAAGTTTGTTAAAAATATCTTGAATGCTTTCATTAAAACTGAGCTAAACACTAATTTAAGAAAAGTGAGGTCAAGGTCAAAAGAAAGGTCAAGGTCAAAAAACGTTGATGCAGTTGAATAGCTTACATCAGTATGTATCAACAAATGAAGTTTGATTACATTATCTTGAATGGTATCTTTAAAACTGAGCTAAACACTAATTTAAGAAAAGTGAGGTCAAGGTCAAAAGAAAGGTCAAGGTCAAAAAATGTTGATGCAGTTGAATAGCTTACATCAGTATGCATCAACATATGAAGTTTTATTACACTACCTTGAATGGTATCTTTAAAACTGAGCTAAACACTAATTTAAGAAAAGTGAGGTCAAGGTCAAAGGAAAGGTCAAGGTCAAAAAATGTTGATGCAGTTGCATAGCTCTCATCAATATCTATCAGCATATGAAGTTTGATAAAAATATCTTGAATGGTATCTTTGAAACTGAGCTTTGAACAGAGCTAAACGCAAAGTGTGACGGAAGGACAGACGGAAGGACGGAAGGACGGAAGGACAGAAGGACGGAAGGATGGAAGACGGACATGACAAACACTTTATGCCCCGGCCATATTCATTGCGGGGCATAAAAATGAAAATGACTTGTTAAATCACATTTCTTTAAATACTGTATACAGGATTATTTTCATCTACTGTTATCTTCACTCTTTCATACATGCAAACCATTTTGCCCTGTTTTAAATTTGTCCAGTCCCAGTTCTGTTTAAGAAATTATACTGTGTTCTTTGAATTCGTCCCATTTTAAATTCGCTCACCTGAGTGTAGGGCGAAGAGTGGCAAAAATTAAACAGGGCGAAAATTTCTCTGTATACAGTACTGCTTATTTAAATTCTAATCATTTGTCCTTCTTGGGAAACTAATTTGCTTTTGCACAACAGTATTTCGGACTCGAAATAAAGTATACTTTTCTTAATTATAGTATACTGCAATTGCTTGTATATTTACATGCATCTTCAACCAGGGATGGGCAAGATAACTGAAAAATGTAATCGATTAATAATCGATTACTTAGAGGAATTTTGTGTAATCGATTATTAATCGATTACACTCATTTTTGTCCTGTAATCGATTGTAATCGATTACTTTGGAAGATGTAATCGATTAATAATCGATTATCTGGTACTCCCAAGTTTTTATCCCTTCAAATATCAAAGCAATATTTAAATGGTAACGTTGATGATATCCACTGAAGTTTGAATGTGTTCCTGCAGTTTCAGTGCAGATTCTTTTAAGGTTTTATTCTGGCTAACATTCTCACTAAATGCCCAAATGAGGGATTCTGTACCATGAAAAGTGGAGACATGATTCCTACAATAAAATATGTCAAGGAATTAATTATTCCTTTCAACCTTGGATCTGAACCTCCATATTCAGATTTGACTTGTTGCAAAAATTATTTATTATAAAATAATTTTATTGTGAATAACTTCATTAGAAGTATTTGGGCTAGCTGCCCGTATGTTGACAGTACACATTAAACATTCTTGTGTCTTCTTTAAAAAAAAAATAAGTAAATTAGAACTCTTAGTAATAAACATGTAAATAGAATGTGTCTTTAAGTAATTAAACTAATAGCACAATTTCATTCTGTATTGAAATAAGTGTTTTGAGAGCTATTAATTGTTTTAATAATATTGTTTGTCTTCAATAGAACTATGAAAAATAAAAGTTAAACACTAGGTAGTTCACAGTTTACACCTCATTATCTGCAAGTCAGGGATGTCTCAGTCAATTAATTAGCCAAGATAAGCAAACACAGTGACACTTACTCCCTCTCTTACAGACACCTATAACCCCTCACTGATACAAAAGAAACCTTACAATTTTGAATGAAAACATGAGAATGATTTTGCAAATTTTAAAGTTACTAAAACCACAAGTTTGAAGTTGTTTAAACATTTTCAGATATGAATAAGTATTTCCATCTTCTTTTTTCGAGTACAATGTAGTTTATTTACCAAATCATTTATAATTAACACAGCACTTAAATCTGTTTTTGCTATTTATAATTTTCTATTACAACCACAAAGTTTTTCAATATTTGAAATATGAAAAGGACATTCAGCAAGAGGACTATATGGGTCAAATGTAAAATGCATACAAAAAATCTATATTTTTTATTAATAAATAGTTGAAATACACTTCTGAATTATTTAATACTAGACCAGTAGGTCTATAATGCAAATTTTATTGAGAACCTTATTAAACTTATGATAATAAAAGTTAGGTAATCCAAACATTACACTAGGTTGTTTATATTTGATATGTGTGTGAATGACAGGAAATAATTCTCCAAAATAACATCCATTTATGCATAAAATAATCGAAAGTAATCGAAAAAGTAATTATAATTACATTGAAAATTTTAGCTGTAATCGATTAAATTACGATTACAAGTAATCGAAAATCTCTTCGATTACAGATTACTGTCGATTACTTGAAAAAAAGTAATCATTACAATCGATTACGATTACTCGATTATGATTACCCCATCCCTGTCTTCAACTACACTGAAGAATTGCAAAGTGCCAATTTTCATCATCTCGCTAGCTTGCCTGTCTCCGGGAGTGGTTTCCTGAAATATGTCAATCCCCAACGACTCATTTACACTTAATAAAAATTAATTATCAGCAATCTAAATGACAGACACAGACAATGTGGTTCAAGACAGTACACATCACTCTCCAGGGAAGGCAGCATGAATTACTTGGAATCCATTGTCAATATCACAAGATGTATTCCCCCCTCTAACAGCTACAACTTTTGTAAATTCAATCATTCATAGGTTTTATTATGGAGTTCCCCTTGCTCTAGGTGATAAGAAAAAAATAATTCCAGTTGAATGGTTGTTCCATTGTGATAAAAGCTTTGTTAACAGAGGATAAAATCTCACATCATCTCTTAAACCCACAGAAGGTTGTTGACGTCTTCAAGATAGATAATGTGTCAATGAGATGCCATGCAGAGATTATATACTAGATGCGTAAACCAAGCTTTAATGATTATGGCTCTGTCATCTTGATTTTCATCAATCATCTTTTTTTATTTCCCTAACCACTTTTAAATACGGTATATTTGTATACATATATAGGTAACTCAACTTTTCCCACTTTCACGACTTTAACCCGATATCTCAGACTTTTGGTTTTTTTTCTCAGTCCCATCAAGTTCAAGTTAACAAGGTTTGACTGTAATTTGTGTTTATAGATATGAGGCTAGGAATTCTTCCTCTGAAGAACGAGTCTGGATGCTGAATAGCCTCTACATTGCAGTTTACAACAACTTAATGTAAAACCCTGATTTGACCTTGAGTTGTTGACTATTTAACTTTGATCTGGAAATCAGTAAGCTTCCTTTAACCATGTACATAACTCTATGGCAAATGTAAGACTGAAAATCAAACATTACTGCTCATTAATTTTTAGCAATTAGTAGTCTTTGATATGATGTTCTCCTATAACTGGATTTTGGATAATATACATTTATTGCATGATTGTGAGGGAAATATGAAGAATTATTCAGCCAAGAAAAAAGTCATATTCCCCAAGGGCTTCGCCCAAGGGGAATATGATTTTTCTTGGCTGAATAATCCTCCACGTTTCCCGAACTTTCATGCAAAAAATTGTTTATTATACAAAAACAAGAAGAGCCTTTAAAAATACACACAAACTTTCAAATTCAGCATCGCTCTAAAATTCACTTTCAGTTTTAAAGTAAAATTACTGAAACACTTTACTGAAATCCTTTGGACACTAGTCATTCCGATTTCTTTGTTTTGTTTTTTTAAGCATCCCTATTAAAAAAGACTTCTCTCGGGAGTTTTCGTTCAACGAACGATAAGTATCAAGGGAAAATGCACGAAGTATCCGAAGAGGTTGAATATGACAAATAGCATGACAACGACAGGGAAATATGAAGCTTTATGGCCCTGGGTAATGATCTAATGTTCCTTTTACATAAATAAGAGGTTGAAGACCTTAAAGAAAAGTCAGACAAAATGCATTGTCTCTGACTTAAAAAGAAGTCTTTTTAAATAAAACCACAACCATGAACTTTCAAGAACAAGATTGAATGTCTTCCTAAATAAGAAACGCTAGAAACAGTCGTGAACAAAGTACACTAACTTTAATTTGAAGACTTTACTAAGAACCATCACTGATCTGTTATAAAGTTATAAGCAAACTTCAAAAGGTTTTAATGAAATTCAAAAAAATTTAATGTGCACTAATGTAGATATTTTGGTAGGATATTTCTTATTTATTTAGGTGACTGATTTTTGCTTCTGTGTGTTGCTCGTCAATCCTAATTTGGCAAAAGTAAATATAACCATTGTATAAAATGTATTTTCTGCATCCCACAAGCTTCCTAATGAATGAGTCTTTATCTTACCACATGGTGGACAGTTTCTGGCACTGCATCCTGCCCTTTCAGATCAATCCAGGTCGGAAAATACATCAATCTCTCCTGAAAAAAAAATGTAAAATGTCCAAATTATCTGAAGTAAAGCAAAATTCTTGCACAAACCATTCAACCTTCAAGACATTTATTTTATGCTTTGAGGGTCCATTACCAAGTTTTTATATTTTTCATTTCCTATGCATCTCTGTTACTTTCTGGTATAAAAACCACAAGTTTTCATTTCAGAACCCATATATCTCATCCTCTTCATTTCTTTTCTATGTCGTGTAGGAGTTATGTGGAAAGATATTAAAATCTTTATTACATGTACTATTACTCTTTTTTTTTTTTAATTTGAAAATCTCTTTCCAAGCCCCAAGACCATATAAAGAAAAAAATCAAGCAAAAATTTAAAGTTTCTATAACTAATGAAATAATTTGGAAAACTAGAGGTACTGTGAATAATGAGCTCACAAAATGATAACTCCACCCCCAACCCCCAGCTCCCATATGAGTAAAATGGCAAAGTCCCATGTTTGCTAAGGGAAACTCAATATATGTGTCTCATCAAAATGTAAAATAGATGGTCCAATGGCACTACGTAATAAAGATTCTGTGAATGTCTCATTCAATTTTTGTTCAGTGGTATACGAGTTGTGGATAAGAGATGGGTTCCCCAAAACACAACAGACGGATGGACAGATTGTTGGACAGACACCCCCATCACTGTTTTCCCCCACTTTTTAAGCAAGGAGTATAATAAAACAAAATTTTGATCACGTTTGTATTTTGAGTAATATATGAACCTCCAAGTTTTTAAACATTTATTAAATAGAACCTTAGTTATGGTCTCGAGACCAAGTTTCAGACATTCAGGGATCATAACTCAAATAATTATTCTATTTTAAAAAAAAACTCAAAACACTTGATGGTCATTCAAAGGTCATAGAGCAAGCAAAATTTTGACATACCCAAAATTAGTTCAATAATTTCAAAAGAAAAGCTTAAATGATAAAAAATTTATGCATAATGGATGGAAACATACATAGCAATAGATCATGTAAGCAGCTCAGGAAATTATTTCCCCCCATTTTATTGGTGACTCTTTGGAATCTTAGCTCACATCTGAAACTTACAGCCATTTTCTTGACATCAAAAGAGTGCAGAGTAGCTGAGCAGACGATCATCTGAAGACGCTTGCCATCGTTAGTGACCTTAGGGATCTGTTGGTGAAGTCTGTTGATCATCTCACCATAACCAGCAGACAAAAGCCCATCCTTAAATGGATATATTTTAGGATCAAGTTAAATCAAAGTGCCTACAAGGGACTGAAAGACGAGATCAAATTAATTCAATTTCATGGTTTTATAGACTTTACAAGTGTTGCAGATTTTAGTAGGGTTTAGACACTTGCATAAAAAAATTCAAAAATTTAAAATTAAAACAAAATTTTAAAAGAACTGTGACATACAATGCCAGGACAATCCCCAAAATTCATGGAAAAGTTATATTTTTCAAAAATTGTGTTTTCAGTATTATCTTTTACACATCTGAATCATTTATTTTATTAAAAATTTATTGATAATAGTTAATACATTCAGCTGGAGCTAGTAAAAATTTACCATTTCAACAAAATCATTTTTGCTACTTTTGTTTTTGTAATCACTATCTTTTCTTAAAAATATATTTCTCCATATTTGACTCTAAATCAAACAAGTAAAATTTTTCATTAGGCAGTAAATCGCTTGATGTCATGCCTTCAATCAATACTTCAGCTAATGCATGTTATATACAAAGTAAAATCAAGAACTCTATGAACCACTTTTAATGACTGTTGCAATCGAGTTGCATTAATTAAGTTTCGTGACTACATGCTTATCTGCATTTGGAATTCATTACCAGAGACATTTTCTTCTGCTTTAAAAAGTATCAGAAGGAAGACTTACTGCCTCATCAAGGACAAAGAACCTGCACTGATGTAGGGCCAACTTTCCCGTAGATATTAGGTCTTCCAGACGACCTGGGGTTCCCACCACAATGTCAACCTGTAATTCATTAAGAGTGTTAAAACATGATCAAATTCAAAGTTAGCTTTCAAATAAAGGAGATAACTTCAACTAGAACTGGGAAACTAACAACCACCACCAACACTCCATGCAGGGGAAACTCGAGTAAGGGCAAAAGTGCATACTTTCAAAAAGCTTTGAAAAAAACTCTACCATTTCACAAAAAAAAAGAAGAAACAATAGGCCAGGGGGCCACATCGCTCACCTGAGCACTCTGGCTAGGAAAAAGCAGAAATCCATTCAGTCTTAAAAAGTTTAAATATAAAACTGGTTGGGAGGGGGGGGGGGTATTTGAACTAACTTGAATCTAAACTTCATAGGGATGCTTTTGAATTAATATGACAAATAATGGCTTTGCTGTTCTTAAGAAGAAAATTTTGATTGATATATCCTTTGTATTCCTTTGTATGATCCCCTGTCATGGCCCCTCTATTCTCCATGGGATCATGATTTGTACAAATTTGAATCTACATTACCTGATGATGCTTCCATTTAAATATGACTAATCATGGCTTTGCTGTTCTTGAAAAGAAGATTTTTAAAGATGTTCCCTATATATTCCTATGTAAAACTTTGATCACCCATTGTGGCCCCACCCTACCCCTGGCGGTCATGATTTGAACAAACTTGAATCTACACTACCTGAGGATGCTTCCATATAAATATGACCAATCATGGCTTTGCTGTTCTTGAGAAGAAGATTTTTAAAGATTTTTCCTGTTTTCTTATGTAAAACTTTGATCACCCATTGTGGCCACACCCTACCCCTGGGGTCATGATTTGAACAAACTTGAATCTACACTATCTGAGGATGCTTCCATATATATATGACCCATCATGGCTTTGCTGTTCTTAAGAAGAAGATTTTTAAAGATTTTTCCTATTTATTCCTATGTAAAACTTTGATCCCCCATTGTGGCCCCACCCTTCACCCAGGGGTCATGATTTGAACAAACTTGAATCTACACTACCTGAGGATGCTTCCACATAAGTTTCATATTTTCAAGCACAGTGGTTTTTGAGAAGAAGATTTTTAAATGATGCCATTAATTTTTCATGAATTCATAATTATCTCCCCTTGGAAGAAGGCGTGACCCTTCATTTGAACAAACTTGAATCCCCTTTACCCAAGGATACTTAGTGGCAAGTTTGGTTGAAATTGGTCCTGTGGTTCTTGAGAAGAAGATGAAAATGTGAAAAGTCTACGACTACGACAACAGACAACGGACAAATTTCAATCAGAAAAGCTCACTTGAGCCTTCGGCTCAGGTGAGCTAAAAAACATACTGGAAATCCTTTGTCCTGATTCTTGTTGATATGCAACTGGTTGGTGGTTGTAACGCTTTTTATCATGGTCAACCTCAGTGTCAAGAGTTAAAAAGGCATGATCATTAACTTCTGATCTAAGTGACTTGACTTTACTGAAACAACCAATCTAAGAATCATGACAGATCAGGTCACACAATTCAGGTCACACAATCTTTGTGTCAACTATAACCTCCCTGATGCCCTGTGACCTTGAACTTGTCTGAATGACCTTTTTTCAGTGTTACTACAAAATTATACTATGATCATAATCAACCCAAACATCAAGTATGATTTTCTAAAATTATTCTATTTCAAAGATATTATAAGGACAAAATTTTTACATTTTAAGCTAGTGATGTTGACCTTGTCCAGATGGCACGCAGGGGTGTTATACAGTCAGAAGAAACTTTTGTGCCAAGTATAATCTTCTAATGCTTTTCTACTTCAAAGTTATGGCCAAAGCAAGAATTTTACATTTCTGATAACTATGACCTTGACCTTGTCAAATGTCATGTGTAAAGGTCAGGACATACCCTTGTGTCACAAGCAACCTTTTTTCTCAAAAATAATTTTCTATTGTTTTCTCCATTTCAAAGGTCTTTTGAATAGAACAATAATATAATACTTTTACAAGAGCTCTATAAACTGAACCAAACTGCAGTCTCAGTGTCACCAAAAAAAAGATGCTCATGGAAGAATAAATGCTCCACACTTAACTGACTCACCAGGTTAAAATGAAATACCTGAGTTAGTACATCACATATAGGTGCAATGGTTATATGAAAAACTAGGTCTATTGTTGAAGTGAAAATAAAATTCATAGACTTTTTCTCTTACTCTCTCCACTTACAAAGGAACTATGAAGGGTACAGTTTGAAAGATTTGCACATGAAAGTAAACAGGAGGGACAAACAGGTAGAGGACAGATAAACACAATTGATTACTAAGGGAAACAAACATTTTTTAAGCTAGGCCCTTAATAGTTTTTTTTTTGTTTTTTGAAGTGAAAGAAAGTTTTACCAATGACAGACCATCTAACATTATATTTCTTAGGAAAATTAACACAAAAGGCCCATGGGCCACAGGGCTCACCTGAGTCAACATGGCCCTGCTATTCTTCATCAGCTGTTTTTTTCTATAATTCTATGAAAAAAAAAATTGATCACCCACTGTGGCCCCAGCCTTCCCCCACAGGTCATGATTTGAACAAATTTCCATCTATATTACCTGAGAATGCTTCCATATAGATATGACTAAACATGGCTTTGCTGTTCTTAAGAAGATTTTTTGACTATATATTCCACTGTTAGTTATATTCCCATTGTGGCTCCACCCTATCCCCCTCGGGTCAAGGCTTGAACAATCTTGAATATACACAACCTGAGGATGCTTCCATATCAATATGACTAACCATGGCTTTGTTGTTCTTGAGAAAAAAGATTTTTTCCAAAATATTCCTATGAAAAAATTTGATCCCCAATTGTAGCTCCACCAAAACCCCGGGGGTCTTGATTTGAATAAAATTGAATCTACACTAATGAAGTTTTCACCTAAGTTTCAACTTTTTTGGCCCAGTGGTTCTTGAGAAGATGATTTTTAAAGGATGCTGCCAAATTTTCACTAATTCTTAATTATCTACCCTTGAAAGTAGCTGTGACCCTTTATTTGAACAAATTTTAATCCCCTTCACCCAAGAATGCTTTGTGGCAATTACGATTGAAACTGGCCCAGTGGTTCTGGAGAGGTTAACAATGTGAAAAGTTTACAGACAGACAGACTACAGACATAATGTGATCAGATAAAGCTCACTAGAGCTTACAGCTAGGTGAGCTAAAAACTTCAGAATCTGTTTTGACATTGTGCAATGTCAAATGTATTCAATATTAGGCTTATAAATATTGGAAAACAAACCCCCTATGGTAAACACAAACAACCAAAAAAAAATTAATACAGGATTGATCAAATTACCTTGCAACACCTTAGAGTTGCATATGAAGTAAAGAAAACAAATAAATTATACGAAATGAAAGCAAGTCCATCGTACATGAAAGCACGTTGAGCCAGAGAACTGAAATATATAGCCCCAATTGAATGCAGCAAATTGTTTTTGTAATTTCATCTTCCTTTGGAATATGACTTGGATAATCAACTTCCTTTGGAAATAAGCTAATCATTTCCTTTTTTGCATTCTTCCTTTTTTTCATTATATTTTCCTGTCAGTTCAGATAAATATCTTGGGGGACAGGCATAAATTGCTTACAGAATAAGAATATGTCACTAGACATGTTACTGCAATAATCACTGATGCAGCCATAAGACATACACAACCTTCTTTATCATAAAACTGTCAACTATTTCCCATCGCACCCGACAATTTCTAAATCATACTGTTCTGATCAAAGACTACACAATTTTTCGCTCGATCAATTTTCATTGTATCTTAGGCCTTTCATGACCAAAGAAGTGAAAATGGACCATAATGTTTATATCCAACCAATAATGGAAGAGTGATTTGAAATCAATACCAATCAACATTTTTATAGAAATGTCGCTGCAATAAACAACACCAAAATATGAGTTTACATAACCACGGTTTTAGAAATCTCAATGGCTAGACTATACACAGGATGAAAAGCCAGGTTTCCCAAATTTGGAAACCCGATGGAAACATATGGGAATCGTGACATCAGTAGTTTCCATATAGTTTCCATTTTATGGAAACCACATAGTGGTTTCCACGTAGATTCCCGATATGGAAACAATCAACCTGTGGTTTCCCATAAGTTTCCCAATATGGGAAACCGTGGAAACATGCAGTAGTGGTTTCCACGTAAATTCCCGATATAGAAACAATCAACCTGTGGTTTCCCGTAAGTTTCCCATTATGGGAAACCACGGAAACATGCAATAGTGGTTTCCACGTATATTCCCGATATGGAAGCAATCAACCTGTAGTTTCCTGCATGTTTTCCAGATATGGAAAACACGTATGCTGTGGTTTACACCTATTTTCCCGATAATAGACATTTTGGAAACGTGTATCAAAAGAATAATAAAAAAAATGTTTGTGTAATTCTGTGTAATAAAATTGAACATTCTGTGACAAATAAAAGATTTTTTTTAACATTTTAGTCTCGGTAAAACTCATAAAGACACCTGAATTGGAATTAGTAGTAAGAGAAGATTTAATACAACTTTTAATTTTAGAAAAATCAGTGCAAACTGTTCAGATAAAATTCAATGATTGCGCTAACCCTTGTAATCGCGGGCACCTGTTCTCACGTGCCACAGGTGGAGACACGTGTCGCGAAGACACCTGCGACTGTGTATTTTTTGTATATTCTATGTGATTTGAGAGGGTTTTCTACCTAAGGGGAACAATGGGCTATGGTCAAGCATGTACATACACATAGTCTCCACAAACTCAGTTTAAATTTAGGTGATAACTGCTGGCCATTGATTTGATTTAAAAAAAAAATAATTTAAATTATCAATAAGACCACAGAATATTGATAAAATAAGCTACATTAATTTTAAGATGTTCAATGAGAGAAGGAAAAAAAAGAATTGTATTTTATTTTTTCATCACTGATTAAAAAACAAAATTTCCTAACCGTTTAAAAATTATACATACTTTTCTATCGGTCTAGAATTAATCTAAATTCTCGTTA